GATTATCATTAGCTAGTAGTAGTTAGAAAAAGCTAGAAGTAACTAGAAACAAGGTAGAAGTAACTGGAAATAAGATAGAAGTAGCTGGAAACAAGGTAGAAGTAACTGGAAATAAGCTAGAATACAAGGTAGGAGTACTTCCTCTGGTATCCAGTTACTGCACGTGGTACAAATTACAATCAGGGATTGGCTGGATACCTCATGAATAATTAATGAGTATGAGAATAACTTATCACTTCTCAATACCTCGATCTGTCTTTCTCCGAACGAGCTTCTAATACTTGCATTGAATCCACTCCCTGTAAAATCAAATGACATGTAGAGCAAAAGACCTGACAATCATTTGCGACTATTATTAGCATGGAAATACCCAAACTTTCTTCAGTAAATGAAAACTAATCGACAACTTATTTATTATTTCTAGTTTGTGCCGGGAGGCACGGGATCGAGACGAATACCACAGTTAATCCACAAATACAAACCGCACACTCATTTCGATTTTTGTGTGTCTCTTTATTTAACAATACTGGCATTTATGAATTCATAAAATACTATAAGAATATAGAAAATTATTGCATAAAATTATCCGTATAAGGGGTGGGCTGTCTGTTAACAAACCTGAAAACATTGAGGTAAATGGATACGTTAAGTCGAGGATTTGTGTGAAAACTGACGTCATATCCTGAAGTAAGAAAAGACTTATAATCAAGGATTAACTTAGCCAAGAATTTTCTTATCTCAACTTACCCATGACCACTCGCGTACTTTCTGGCTCATTCTTTCAGTGTTGCCGTATTCCGCTATGGCAGCACCCACGAATGAGCCCATGCTGGTACCTCCAACCATATCTATAGGAATATCTAAAAACAAATATAATGATTAATTGATGACTGACGTTATGGTCAAAGTTGTCGCGGTTCCAGCCTTCTTACCTGCTTCCTCAAGAGCCTTGATAACACCCACATGTGACAAACCCCTGAATAAAAATAATAACAATAAATAAAAGAAATTCAGTGACTGATCGACAAGCCGATGTCGCTGTCCAACTTACCGTGCGCCTCCACCACCCAACACGAGACCAATGGACGTCCCAGTAAGTCGGCGAGCCAAGCGGGCGAAGTCTGAGTTCCTGATAAACAAAAACAACAAAAAAAAAGAATTCTCAGAACACACAAAATACTAATCAAATTCAAGGAGTAGCACGTAGCCTCCTCCATACCCAACTTTTTTTCCTTCGGTTTTCCTTTGTATTGGTCATACTTCTAATGACCGTTAGGGACTGCTGAATCCCATTCTCCCTTTTCTGGCTCCCAGCAAAAAGACAGGAATCCCGTGACTCTTAATGCTATATGCGGAGGAGGCTAGTTTTAGCGTTATTAGCTGTTCTTACCTGGCTGGTGCTTGATAGGCTGCAGGATTTCTTGCGTACTGCAATGTAATCAAGAAATGAATAGTTGGTGAATGGTTAGCATTCATGATGGATGAAGTTACAGTGCAACATGAAAAATTTTTCGCAAAAATCTCAGCGAATGTGATGATACCACAGCTTACCCGATCAGCTAAGAAGCGCTTACTGAATACCTTCTTTGGACATCGCACCTAGTATGACAGAAATAAAACAACTATTACTGGAACGTCAACAGACCTTCTAATCACAAACTCCCTTGGGAGTACAATTTTTTATTTAAATAGCATTTATATTCATATATTGTCTCAAGAGATGGCGGAAATGATCGATAAACTCAACCTATAATTCTTTAAAAGACGTTCAGGTGCTCTTTCCCTCCATGCCGTTTTCACTACCAGAGTCCTTTTCGGTAGTTAACATTGTGATGAGTTACTCACATGGGTATGGGCTGATATCCACCCACGGGCATTCAACCAGTGTACGGTACCCGATATACGGTGATTGCTGTCTACTTCCCGGTGAAGAAGAATCAGTTCCTTTTGAGAGCGAACTTGGATACTTTCAAGCTGGAACTCGAGCTGTAATGATAGAGATTAAGCAGTCAGTTTATATCTTCAGATGGGATTTACTCTCATGGTTTCTATTACACAACGCGTTCAGCCGCTCTAGGAATGGACCCAGGCCTTGTTCAGAAGATTTACTATTTTGGGCTCCCTGTATATAGTTAAGTCATGTTGGTTTATTGTTTTTGTAAACTCGTTCGGATTAAAATTGACGGAAAAACACTTATCAAATACTTATGAACGTAGCATATTCTTCATATACTGGAATATTCGAGCGAGAAAAAGACGTGAGCTAATGTTACCTGTCCAACTGCTGGATTTTCGTCCGCTAATCCAACAATTAAAATGCAGTCAGCCTAAAAACAGAGATTCTAATTAAGATTCGCAGTGTTGTTTTTCAGTCAGTAAAGTTTTTTAAAGTTTGTAACCAACCTGTCTAATACATCTCTTTGTCCAGGCAGACATATAGGAATCAGCTTGATACAACACCATACGATGAAGGTCTTCTTGCTGTCCAAGCCAACTCACTAATCGGTACTCGTTCATACTAGAAAATAAACAAGACAATGAGAGAAAAAAAGACGATGTTTCCTGATAATGGTTAATACTTACTTGTCCAGAGCAGAGCTGCCAAGGTTACTCCTGACGAAGTTGCTGGTAAGAAGTAGTGTTGTGCCTAATTGAGATAAAGTTAGGCCATTGTTAGGAAAATAGTTGAGCTTTTTATTTAGTTCAATACCAAAAACAGAAACACCACCAACTACAGTTACAAGAAGAACTAACCACAACCTAGTAAGGCTGCAACAACATAAGGACAACGATAAACCAATATCAGCTCCGGCTACAACATAAACAGCAGTACAAAGACAAAAACATTCAGTGGCAGGAAAAATAACATCAATAAAGATGTAGGTTTGGGACAAAACACGGCGAATTTCTTTTGTTTTCTCCAGAAACTGATACCACAATGCATTGCAAATCACGTAGATGACGTACAATCTTCAAAAGTCTATTTTGAGTCATCATAAAACACTTCTATCAAAAAACTTACCAATTGAGTTAAGAGCCAAGCTCAATTCAAAGCTGACATTAGCGAGCGGTACGTTACTTGACGCAGGAATCAATGCTACAGTACCAAGGTTGGAACCACCAAATATCTGGTTATCCACAGGACGATGGTTTTCTGCTGGTTAGATAAATCACTTTGTTCTTACTGACAAGTTTATGTAATGCGATGGAATGTAATTCAGGATTGTTTCTAGGAGTTGTCACATACAAAACAGAATCATGGAGAATTTTAAAAGAGACCTGATGGTCATCCTGTGACGTATAAACGTATATACGACTTTCAAAAATGGCGCCAGTTCACGTCCGCCTATATTGGGGACTAGTGACGAATGATGGAAACGAGACCTCAAAGGCCTTCCATCAAGAAATCACTACGAAGGTCGTATGTAGGCAGTGTCCAAAAGTTTGAAAAATGTATTGGTATGTTATTTATAACAAAACACTCTTGCAAGACACAATGGAAGCTCACTATACGGAGGCTGGCCTTTGAGACCTCGTTTCAGTGCTTCGTCCCCAGTGCCCTGGTCGACGACCGTGACACGTCGCGCCATTTTTGAAAGTCGTGAATGATTCCTCTACATGAACATCAAGGTTCAGATTTTAATATTTGTAATTTAGTAAAATCATATTGCCTATGAAAAGCTATTCAATTCAATTTTATAATTAAACACAATTTCCAAATAATTATATTATAATTAAATACAAACATAATGACCAAATATTCCACACAAAGCGGTTACAAGTACCCCCTCTTGAACCTCCTGTACATACGACCATAATATTCATTTATCCATGTCAATTCATTTTATTCATTATAATCAATTATTTATCCATTTTCCCATTTATTTCAGCACTGTAAATCCATTCATTCGTATTCTCTACTATCCCATTCCTATATTCAATACAGTAAACTAACCTAATAGTGTGTCTGTTCTTACACCTCCACCTCGTCGATATTGTCCAAGTAACCTCTCACCCAGTAAATGAATTAAACGAGACACGACCTGATTTTAATTTAAAAAAAGATGACACACAAAAACAATCAATGCCACACACTACTCCTGTACACAGGTTTATTAGCTTAAGAAGAAAAAGTTTTATTTCCGCGAGAGTCTGCGAGTCGCGGAAGATGTCAAAATACCTGTGGATGTTGTCTCTTGATGGTGTTCAAAAGACCATCAGGTAGTACGGCAATCTCGGTGTCTCTGTAACAAATGAAGCAACGAGTCTTAGAATACCTTAGTTACTATTACCCATTCAGCGCCGAATGTGACGTGCATACGTCAATGCAAAAGATATGATAATAGTAGAAACAATAGATAGGAATAATGACTTGCATTATAGTTCAGCACATTTTGAGCCGACAGTAAAAATGTAACCGTAATTTATTCAAACATTTATACCGGATAGCATGAACTGTGGTGGCTCTGGGAGACTGGGTAAGAACTTCAACCTGAAAAAGAGCAGATTTATTGAACGGAATTAATGAAGGTTTCCATTTGAAGCCAATGATGTAATGTTTAGGTGATGACAGAAGAAAAGATGACCGAGTGGTTTATCACCACTATGATTGACAAAGGTGTTCATTGGGAGAATGTCGGTACATTTGAATGATTGATTGATTGATCGTCAGGGAGGGTAGGGTAAAAGAAACTATGGCTCACCAAACCAATGATTTCTCCACGACCAGCTTCACTAACAAGTTCTTTTTTACCATCCTCTAGTGTGACTACTGAACGAAGACGACCATTCAGCACAATATAGATACAGTTTGACATCTCGCCTTGTCTGTGAATAACAACACCAACAACAACAAAACTATGAGCCTATTATTTAAGAAATATAAGAGAAGCAAGAGAAACACTCGCTACGCTAGTGTTCCTAAGCTTRCTTCTCTCGTGTTTTTCGAACTCCCACCGTGTTTATATCAGAGGACAGAGACACGCGCGCCGTTTTATATTTCTTTTATAAAATTTTTCGAGCGAAAAGAAAATTTTGCCGGTAAGCCGTGTCTCTGTCCTCTCTTGAAGATGGAATATGGAATTGTAAAAAAACGCATTTAAGGAGGCTCCATAGAGTATTACTGAAAACGGAGGTTTTCCAGATATTTTGCCTTTTTTGTACATAAGACAGCTCTCAAAACTCATAAAGTAGCTATTTCTTTAATGACTAATAGTTGGAGAATAATTTACATAAAAATATCCGGGTAGAATGTTGTCATGGAAACAGTACGACAACTACAACAAGGCCCTTATTTGACATTTGAAAAATGATAATTCAGAATTGGCACGGGCAATCAGTCTTCTTGAAACTGAAATATGTTGTTTTTTGCAATATTATCAAGTGTATAAAAACTGTTTGAAAAATATGCGCAGAAATAAAATTTTACAAGATCGGCATTTGCGCTTGCGCTAGTAAAGAATACGGGCTCAATGAACTCGAAGACACGCTCGAAAAAATTCGCTAAAGAAGCCAAATTCTGCGAGTAATCGCTGGATATTTGGGGGAAACATGACGTAAAATACGTTTTACTTCACCTAAATTTATTTTTTATTGATTGACTTCAGAAGTACATAACTTCTGTTGACTTGAAGTGCTGGATGATTTGGGTTAAAATACGAGTGTTTTTGGTGACTCTTGGGACTTTTCCTGACTTTGGAGGGCACGATAACACTGCAATTAAACCGGTTTCACCGAACTTTGTAAATACATTTAGAAGATCACCGTAGGACAGACCACTTCCCGCCATCTTTGTTTTGAATTTTGTTACCTTAAAAGCTCGCGCCAYYGAGCCRGTCGAACCCATGCTTCGCGCGGTTAAAAATACTCTATGGAGCCTCCTTAAGTCTAAAGTCAGCTCAATCTACAAGAAATATTACCTATACAATGCTCTTCCAGCTTCTATGTGCATCCAGTCGAGCGCGTAGTCAATTTGTCTTAAGAACGGTGACAATCGTTTAACCAAAGAATAAGAAACATTCAGAATCACTCTTGGTCTTTCTCGTAGAAATCTGGATACAAAAATCAAGTCACATTTATTGAATACAATAGAATTGCAGGAGAGAATTCGCACACTTAACAGGTGCACAGAGTGTTAATGAGTTCTTCTATTTTTTTAAGCTTTTCTGAGTGTTTTTCTTTCATGTTTGCTCGATTTAGTGGAGATTCATTCACATTCATCAGAATGCAACAAACTGAAATGGCCGTGGTTCACTCTTCAGCTATTTGGGTTTCTGAGCCTGTAGTCTGACATCGCGAGCTCAGACCACGCCTGCTAAGAGATGCGTTGCATAAAACAATTACACTAAAAAGGCATTTATGGCACAAGCTCTACAATTGCTGTTCTGCAAAGTAATGCTAATCTATTGATGCAATTTTAGTTATTTATAAGTAGCCATTTACGTCTCGGAGGGTTCGGGTTCTTCTTACCTGTAGAAGTTTGCTTTAGTGATTATAGCCATATATGTCTGTGTAGTTGCTTTATAAGAAAAAAGACACGGTTCACCAGTGATGACAGCCATCACACCAGAAAACTCTCCAGGTGAAACAGTGTACAACACATCCTAGAAATATCATATAATATGTAAGAAAGAGACAGTTTATCACAAGATAATATTGGCAAACACTCAACACATTTAGTAAGACTTCTTTTAAACTTAACAATTTCAAGTCTTCGAGGCTTTATTTTAGACGACAAAAACGCTTCGAAAGAAATATTGATGCGCTCAAACACGAAAAACTGATCGAATTAGTATATAAAAGCGCATAACAACGCTGCATTCGTTAATAAAGACAAACAAGAGATCACGTCATTACTTTTGACGTTTGTCGTTCACAATCAACGTGAATTTAAAACTCTCTATTATAAAGTGAAGACAGGCACCGAGAGAGTAAAGGATGTAACAAGATCATATTGGAGTTCTGGTAGCTTTCTTGATATACACTCTATACTCCTAGCATGACAGACCGCAGAATCGAGAAGCCTAGAGTAATAACCAATACATCACACAGGGTCCGTGCAGAGTATCAAAAACGACATTTAAGGACTTTTCAAGGACTTTTTCCAGGACTAAAATTGTATTTTCAAGGAGCATCAAAATCATGCTAATTGTACATTCTTACCTCAAAACTTCAGCTGAACAGAACAATTCAGAGATCGCTAGCGCTTCGTGATAGAGATTCATCTTTTTCAAGGAGTTTTCATGACTTTTTCGAAATTTTCAAATTTTCAAGGAGTTTCAAGTGCCCTTGAAAACGAGTTTTCAATTCAAGCACTTTTCAAAGATTTAAGGACCTGCACGGACCCCGATCACATATCGCTGACGAGTTCTAAAGACAATACTATATCATGTAGTGATTTTCAGCCCACCTGCGATTCGTTGTTTATACTGTTTTGTGTTACTTGCAAGGATCCAGATAACACAAAATGAAGATTACATTCCTAAAAGTGAAAGAAATTATTTAAAAACCAGTTTTCATCAGAATTATTTCACGTGGCTTGATGCAAGAAAATAAGTCATATTTGTGTGACACTTGTATAAAACATTTTACAACATCCATAAATGCAAACAGTAAATGATGATGACAGGTAAATGTTTGACACAGATTGATTGATCGATTGGATGATTGACAATATGACCAAT